TTAATATATTTTAAATATTTAAATGTTAATTATGGTAATATTTTAATATTTAACAGGAATTTTATTGTGATTAGACTGACAAGATTTAAACAAATATATATTTATCACAATATGACGCAACTTTATCATCTCATAATATATTCAATAAAAATATACTAATGATAATGTGAAATATTCGTAAAATATGCGATTCACAACCTAGTCTAGGGTGTGTTTATTTGTAGGACATTTTTACAAAATGAATTAGTAATGAAATTTATGTCGCCATAAATAGAAAGCTCATAACCTTTTTAAAATATTATTGCACAGATTTTAACTTATGAAAATATCAGAATGAGGTCGGCAATCCCAGCAAAGGACAACCACCAACAATAAGGATTTATGGTAGGGTCACTTGGGATTATGGAATTGGTGGTAACTTTTCTTTCATTGGTGGCCAGGAAACAGGTGAAACAGCTCGCCAATACGTTTTGTGTCAGCCACGTGCACTTTTTGAAAAATTGCGTCACTAACTTCTGATGGAAAACAGTTCCTTGATACCATATAACACATTTGGCAAATGACGTCACTATATGACAGCAATTGTTCAGCTTAATTAAGAACGTTAAATGACGAGAATCTGTGCGACCAAGACGGATAATGGCGGCATAGAAAGGGTTATGTAATGTAACCGGAGGGGGGGGGGGGTCGAACTCTTTTGCGCAAAACACAATAACAAAAGGAGATGTAGGAGGGCTTATCGCTGTGTCAAGACCAGTTCGAAAGCACGTACTAGTACAGTCGTTGCACGTCCAGATAGAACAGCCACACTCGTTACGTTTCACACTATTTTTATAACAGAATACGTTGCGTTATTTAAAGTCTTTTCATCTTTAAAAGCCCAGTGGGAAATACATGACCCCCACCTGCTTTAACAGTCACTAAGTCTGCATTTGATTTTGTTTCGTATGTTTCTCAGCGTAAACAGCGGTTGTTTCCTTGGACAACATTAATCAAATGAACTTTGTAATGCTGAAGCGCTGTTTTCTTTGCGGTACGGATTGAATTCCAAACTATTATTTAGACGAGTTTCGGTTTTAAAGTATTAATATTTGTTATAAAAAGATCCAAAAACATCGAGAGCCCGGAGCCTGATGAAAAACACTTAGACAGGGAACGATATTTAAGGTGACGAGCATGAAGATGGCTGTCTTCTGGGTTGTTGCGCAAAAGTTTACAGACGTTTCAGAGGTACATGGTGCCTCCATTAACAGTACGACCACTCATCGCCCTGGTGATAGATGCAGCTATCACCTCTGAAATGTCCGCAAACGTATACAAAACAACACAGCGCAACCCAGAAGACAGCTATCTTCATGCTCGTTGCCGTGAGAACCTGAAATCTCAAAAGGAAACGACGTTTCGGATTCCGTGAGAGGATGGAAATTTCTTCATCAACTGAGCGCAATGCTAGATTCTGAAGGACTCTTGCTTCATGCGGCCTAATTTGAAATCGCGAGACACTGAGGAAGTCCCCCGGTCAGAGCAGTAGCACTCGTCGGCTGTCAGCAACTATACCGACCGTTGCATAAGCGTTGGTCACCTTCTGACTGCAAAGTGCTGTAACAGCACTTGTTCGATCGCGCAAATCTGTGTCACGACAAATTCTGCTGCACAAGATAAGTGGACACATTTTATTTTAGGTATTTAGTCGCTTGCACATGCTCAATTGCAACTGGAACATCTAAGTCTGTCAACACAACCACAGTTTTTATATATTATTTAAATCTTGTCCGTCTAATCACAATAAATTCTTATTAAATATTAAAATATTACAATAATTAACATTTAAAATATTTAAAATATGAAATGATGTTCTTTATCGAAATATTCGATTTACATTAGACCATGTTAATTATTGTAATATTTTAATATTTAATAAGAATTTATTGTGATTAGACGGACAAGATTTAAATAATATATATTTATTATATCACAATATGACGCAACTTTACCATCTCACAGTTTTTATTTTAATTTTTGTATTCATAGTTTTCTGAAAATCCATGTCTGTCTGCTTGGACTTAAACTTCCTGAATGTGATAGAAATTCAGACATAATTACACCGGACGTTTAACCTTGTCATTTTTGATCAAAATTATTAGGGGAAAAAAAACATATAAATGACAAACGACTAATTTTTTTAAGGCAAAATTGTATCAACTGGAAGTCAAAAGTGAGATTTCTAGTTATCACGGCGGTGAGTATGAGGATGACGAAGTCAAAAGTTTTGTGTTTAAAATTTCATATCGGTTCTTGACAAACTGTTTTAAAGTACTGAACGACGCTGATACTGTTTCTAAAGCAAGAACCTGAAAGACATTCAGCATACTCGATGAATCTCCAAATGGTAGAGTTTGCAGACGTAGTTGCGACTACATGGCATAAGGCAAACCTCACGTTCACTATTCACGAACTGTAGAAATACTGTCGAATGTGACGAGAGCGAAGAATTATCTTTATGGACCTAATACATTTCGCTTGATAGTAATAAAAAAGGCCTCCTAGTAGATTGTTTCTGCAAGGGCAAAAATCAAGTTCTACAATTTTTGTTATATGTTAATTTCTCATTTGAATACAATACATAATTCACAAATAAAGCTCGAAATGGGTCTTGTAGAAGCCAGGAAAATCAGAATAGCATCGCTACTGTATGCAGCTATCAAACAGAAAATTTTGTCTAAATATCAGTTACAGATGGCAGATCTAAAAATTACGAAGTTATACCAAATGGAATAATTATCATACTAATTATCATGGAAATCCGTCAACTGCTTCAAAGAACCCTTTTATAATGAAACCACAAGCTTGTCTTATTCTATAATGGAGGGAGGCCTGTGTTAATAACAGAAAATTCTGAGTGAACAGTTCCTCGTATTACGCTCAGAAGAATCGAAAGATGACGAAACACATGTAACCACTGAATAAATCGAATATGAAAATTTCGAATACTTACACAAGAATTCTACGAGGTATTATTTCCACCGCAGCTTCGAAGGTGTCAGCACACACGACTTGCTTGTCACAGCATCTGTTGACAGAAATTGGTACTCTATGTTCTGCTTCATATGGATTACAAGTACATGACATCTATTGTCAAACTCTGACACTACAACAGATGTCAGCTGCTTTGTGATTAGTGGTTATTTTAAAAATAAAGTCACGAATCAAATGTTTATTTATCAAATATGCAATATTACTGGCACACATTTTTGTGTCATGACCAAATTTCGCCTTTTCAATTAATTTGTCAATACCATAATCACAGGTTCTCAACCCTTCAGATTTTGGACCACATTCATCCTATTCAACATGCAAGCCAGGTGGTTATAAGTGCTGATAATTTATTGAAATTTCATATCAGATTATTAAAAATGCTACTGCCCCAACGCAGACCAAGGGAGGGCAGCCCTTACAATACCAGCAGCAGAAAGGCACATCCTGAATAACAGCTGAAAAACGGGGGGAAATATTGACATCTGCAATCTTACATTGCATATGCTACAAGTATTTTTAATATTAGTACATTCTATAAAGCTCTTTTTTGTGTTACGTTTTACTATGATATGTTTCAAATGACATGTGGTCAGTCTTACTCAGGTTGGCATTAACAAAAAAATAAAGGCATTCTGGCTCTATAGTCATTTATATCTGCCTGAAATAGAAATAATGAAAATGAACTTAGCATTCTCATGTTTCAAATGTCTTAACTGATATAGCATTGTAACTAATGCATGATTTATGTTTTAAGCCAATCTTTGTAAGAAATAGCTTGAAGATGACCACTATGTTAGAATATATTGCTATAAATTATGTTAGATCATGTCAGTATATACAAATAGGTGTGCCTCTGGAATAAATAATACTGGCACTATGTAAGATTTGAGGCTGTTGTGCTGTGTAGTCTGGTCGACCTGACCACACAGCGCAACAACCCAGAAATCTTAATACTGGCACTCTTGCACCATGTAAAGCAAACATGAACTCAAAATTATAAGCCAATAAAACTGCAAGACTGAAGACTACAGTCTGTTCATGCATATTTACATATCTCATTGCATTTAATCTACAGAAAGAAATCAAGTAGCAGCAGATTTGCACAGTACTAAACAAAATTTCACTGTTTTTCTTTATCATAATTATTCGTTTGCATATAATTTAAAAGAAGCTATAAAAATATGTACAGGTATGTAATTACCAGTGTGGGACAAGGACAGAATTCCGTGGACAAGATTCTTCTTCATGTCTTGAGGTTAAGAATTCAAACTCGGTGTATGATCACATTCCATATACACGCAAATAGTAACCAACACTGTATATCCAAAGTGTCCGTAAATGATCATTATGATTTTAATAGTTTATTACAAAGAGCACGTTTAAGGTACACTTGAATCATGTACAATTTCAAAGACCAGCTAATAAAACCGTAATTTGGCGCCAAGGTTGCAGTATACTGCGTATTCTGGCCACTAAGAATGCTGTCGCCAGGATCGAAAAATGGCTTCTGGGAAAGAAAAGACGTTTTATATGTAAGCCTTTCATGAAATAAAGATTGACGCAGTGCAGCAACAGTCGCGTCTTCACTAAAGATTATTATCCTGTCCATATTCGTGTTATCATTCGTCACTTCCTCTAGTAACTTTGAATATAAATAATATTCGAACGTTGTATTCATTTCATCATATCGTTCAAGCTTACCTAGTTTCAGTTGCTAAACAGTCTATAACCAATGCGTACGAAGATAAAGCCACTTTCGAACGACTTGTCCAAGAGTCTGGTCGTGAATTGCTTCCTCACAGACTTTATTCTGACTGGAAAGAACTTTGCACAAAAAAAAAAATGAAACTTAAACTTTGGGAACTACTACATATATACCATATAACCATAAACAAGAAGTAATGCTGTGAAGAGGAACAGGATAGTACAGATGGGTCCAAAAACAGACATTTCAATAGCATCAATATGTTTCACGTAATTTACCACTTAACATTGTGTTTTAATGATACAAAATATGCATCCAAATCACAGATTCACATAAATTACAAATATTATATACAGAATATGCAGTTCCTTGTAAACAAATATTGTAATATGTACAAATACATGATATATAACATCAAATAACTCAAAGTCTTCCATTGCCCATTCCAGCACAAAGGCAACACGTCTCGTCCGTACACACTCATCATACAGTCCGAACTTTAATCTCCATGGAACTCATAATATTGCCAGCCATCTGAAAAAGAAACCATCGCACCTCACATTTTCCAAGTGAGCATATCTCAAAGAAGTATACCTATCTGATGAGCAGAATGCATGGCCAATGGGATATAAACAGTCAAAATATGAGTCAATATTTAACAATCTTCTGTGCAGTGCTTGAGCAAAATGAATGGGACTTGCTGGGAATCAAACCCAGATCACAAAGATAAAAAGAAACATTGTTCCATACACAGGAGTGGTGAGAATTTCTAAATGTCAAAATAATGATTCATCAGCTTGACTGAACTTCAGCCACTCACCACATGAAATGCACAACACTGATGTGAGACAGAGAAATAAGAGTAACTAGAAAATGAACCATTCTGATAAATTTTTATAATGCAGTGGTCAGTGGTACGAATGTGTGTCACTTGCTTTATATTATATGACTCAAACATTTTAGCATTTGAAGTAAACAGCACCTTTTTCCTGTTTGTCACTACCCATCTGATCCTTTTTAACAGACATGTAGCATGTTTTCACAGAGGAAGGGACCAAATTTTTAAGTATTATTTAGATAAATTTTGGCAGTCTTAAACCCTCTGTATACTCATAGTAAGCCTTATTCAAGGCTACAGTGAATAGCCCATGAGGCACTCCACTAGCTAGACAGAACATTTTCCATGTAACCTTGTCCTCTCAGCTGTTTAAATTCCCTTCCAAGGCAAGCAATTCACCTTCTAAAAATTGCACAAGTGTATGTGGCTTTGGAACCTTTTTGAACCTAGAAAGAATTGTGACTGATTAATTTCCTTAAAAACTCAACACAGTATGACAGTGTATTAAAATGAAATGTATGAATTATAACACTTAGCATCAAATAATAATTAAATATAAATTTTAAAACCAAACTGAAGAACTGTTATTACCATAATGAAACAATCCAAATTACTGCAATTAAGCCGTCATACAAGGTGACATAGTCCCTACCAACATTTCAACATGGATTCAGAATAAATCAAGCCTTCAACTTTAATAAAGAGGAAGAAGAGAATTCAAACCCTGTATTAGACAGCTGGACAGCCAACAAGGGTTAAACTTAACAAAACTACATAGCGTAATAACCCAGAAGACAATCATCTTCAGATTAAAATCACAATCACACTACATTCCTGGTACAGGGACTTTCCTGAACACATTTATTCATTCAGTTGTTCAAGAAATTTCCTGTTATGGAAATAAAAGGTTCACCTCTGCACTGTCACAAATATCTGCTACTGGACCCTCTTCTAAGGCAGTTAAATCCAGTACACATCCAGCTTCCCTAACATCCATTTTAATATTAAATCTGGTGAAATATAAATCACTGTTCCTCAAGAGACCAAACTTTCGTGTAATTTCTTACTGACTGAAATATGATAACCTGATGATATGTGGAGGTCAAACATGGCTGAGCAGGCTGATATGAATGTGAAGAATATGCCTTCATGTTTTTCAATTACCACCCACATATATGAAATACATCTCTTGATTACATAACAAAACTAATGTCAAATGTTCATATACACAAAACAAAAATTTGAACTACAAAGTACAATCCACCACTATAATGTATGGGCCAATGTTACCAATCCTAATACCTATTAGCAGTGTGAACATAGAAACATTGCTGCATTTTATCTATATTTCAAGGTGCAGAAATGCAAAAGGCAAATACTGTTAAATACATTGGTCCTTCAGCTACACACAGGCTGTTCCAACAGTGCACCAACATGGTAAAACAACAAAAGCCATTGAGGTTCTGACAGTGGTGAGGATGAAGATGGCTGTTTTCAGGGTTGTAGCACCATGTAGTGTAGTAGAAGTTTTACAATAACGGTGACTGTCCTGATGATTGAGGCAGCAATTACCTCTGAAACACAGGTAAACTTCCACCAGACTATATAGCACTGCAACCCAGAAGACAGACATCTTAAAAACCAAAAAGACCAATGCCATTCACTACAGATCTGTGTACACCAAATGGAAATTGGATGGCACAGGTGTGTCACAGTGTGTAATAAACTTCACTGATCGGATCCACAATCAGTTGCCACATTATTCATGCCACCTGTCCTACTACAGGAATAAGCAAGACTTTGTGGATCTCTGTGGACAGTCAGTATTTATAAGTGTAACTCAAAAGCAAATTAAGAAAAGCTACATCTAAACTATAAGAGCATGGGAAAAAAAGCATTACATATTCCCAGGAAACACAAATAAATTTACTTTTGCAGGAAAAGGAATTCAATAATAATGTAAATGATCAGTTTTAGCAACCACTATGACATTTTCAGTACTTCAGTGACACACACATAGAAGGACTTTACCTTTATTGAGAGAGAATTAAATAAAATGTACCATTACAGTTAAAAAACCACACAAATTTAAAAATAATGTTTAACGTATAATATGCAGCATCTATATTTTATATAAAGTAACTAAATTTCTTCTGAATGCATTTACAGACGTAGTTACAGTCAGATATAAACACATATACCTATTTTGCAAGATGTTCCTGTAAAGATATTGGGAGAAATATTACAAGGGTTAAGATTTGCAAATTAAAATAATCATGATGACTGTCAAATATGTTAATAAATATAGCTCTTTCTTTTATGCCAAAGTCAGTAGGGAAGTAATTATAATATGGTCATGCGAACGTGCCGAGTTAATATGGCACCCCTGTCATCTGCGGGTAAGTCTGAAAATTTCCTCATGACTCATTAAATTCCAAAAGCTCCTCTGTATGAGATATGCTGGCTGCAATAAAAGAACTACACTTAAATCTTTAAACCATACATTCATCATACTTCCCCTCTGTACATCTGTCACTCAAGAGTAACGTGTAGTCTACAGTGAATGGCACTGGTTCTGTAACTTCTCCTCCCACATTACCAAACTCAAAGGTCTGTAATATACACAAACCTGCAAATGCTGAATAAAAAACAATTTTCCATATAACTTTGGCTTTTGGGGATAAGTCATGTCACTTACTGCAGTTTCCATCTTCAGGATGAAGGTGGTAACTGCAATGTTTGCCAAAATGCTGGAAAACCTTCACTAATCAATGTGATTATCCCTAAACATCAAAGTTATACAGTAAACTCTAGGTATGAAAACCTAGGACAAAAATCAGTTTTTATTTGTAATGAACATTGACACACCAGCAATCCAAACAGTTGGTCATTCATCGCCTTTATCTTTACACATAAATTTCCTCACAAAAGTTTAATATCTCAGACCTCCAGAAGAGGGACAATCTATCTTCATGCAGACATAATGAAGACACCGAGACTCAATTGTATGGTACTGTTCACAGGTGATAGTGACTGTTATTCTTTCCACACACACACACACACACGATAGACGAGCAGTAATAAAATCTGGTATTAAGACTTGCTGAATGATTGAGTTCCTGATTATTTAATAATGCTATTTAAACTGCACAGGTTACACATGTCTGAAGTCAAATAAGGATGGAAGATTATGAACAATGAGTTGTTTAATAAGTCACTGGAAGAAGGTGGTCAAAGTACCATTCTGGCATCCACCTTAAGAGCTTTTTTTTTAAAAAAAAGTCAGAATAACCAATAACCTAGCCAAGATTTAAACCAGATATGTCATCTAGAGTTTGTCAGTGCACTGACCTGCTAAATATGGTATTTAGAAGTCTTATTACAATTTACTGAACAATTTGACTTTGGTCCAAGTTGACATCATAGAGTACCACTTCTTACATCCACCCTAACTCACCTATCATGATCATTGTATCACTGAATGTCACAGTGTAGTGGTTTGGTATTCCTGCTTTATATCTGAGAGGTATCAGGTTTGACACATAATGGTTGGCTACCCTGACAGGTTTTTATAATTTCCCTCCATACCTCATGGTAAATTTTAGGATAGTACATTAAAGCAGGCCGTGACTGCTTCCTTCCAGATTCATTGTTCCCACCTGACAATCTTTAAACTATGCACCTAAATAAGTGTCATTAAATAAAATAAGAAAACATTCACTCTAGCATTTTTACATTCAGACCAATTATATGGCTGGTTACAATTGCAGGCGCTTTGATATTACCTGAAGTTCAATAAATTCAAGGCAATGTGAGACTCCAAACTGTTTAGGTTACAGTGAGGCAATGTTCTTTAAAATAAATAAATATATACTAATAAAAGACTTACACAGCAACACACTGATATACATATAAATATAACCATGGACGTAACTACACAAGGAACTGATTATAGGATAGATACATAGCTCTTATTCCACACATACATATATTTATACAAATAAACCAAGGCAACTTCAATAAAAGATTGGACAGATTCACTACATGTAAAGCACTGCTTGGCTATACCAAAACATTTCCGAAGACATTCCACCAAAATGAGACAGACAGCTCTACTTTTGTTAGAAGGAAGGGTAAAACCAGTCTACTTTTATCACACCAATTAAATACTTCTCTTTCATTCACTTGCCATTACTGAGTCAAGACAAAGCCAACCTTATAACTCTTTCACAGTCATCTCTCAAAAGACCATTTATATGAATGAAATACAAGAGCATTCAGACAAGAAGAAAACTTAGCAACCCAACAAACACAGCAGATGTTTTTATTGCAATCGCTATGTAACCTGCTGATATGATGAGTCATTTTTTGCGGTAAACGAACACTGTGTCTTGTGATGGTGACAAGATTCTGCATGTTCAGATTATTGTGTTAACGTCTGAATTCCATTCGTCTTGCAGTAAGACATGAGTAGATTGTTCATAGTCATATTCTTCATAACACAGAAAACTTACAGATGGTGCATTTGGAGGTTCGTCTGTAAAATGCCCATAGGAACAAACGTCCACAAAGTCATGTGTATATCATAGCTTATTAAAACTAACAGACCATGGGTTCAATTTGTGACAGACAGAATATAAGATGAATGTGCTAAATGAAGAAAATTTGAAGATGTGAGATTTCAGGTTCTCACTGCAGCAACTATGAAGATGATTATCAGCTAAGATGTTGTGCGTTGTAGTCTCACAGAAATTGGCTGACATACAAACTCACCATGATGGAGGCAGTAAACACTTCTGAAGCATAAGTCAGTGTAACAACCCAGAAGACAGCCGCCATCTTCAGAGGTCAAGATATTCAGACATCAGTCCTCACAAACTGATAAGATTCTTTGCACAAGAAACTGGGGTTTCACTGGGTTCTCAGTTCATATCCACAAGAATTATTCACTCTGCCTGGTTAAAATAATGGTTGTACCTGTGCTTAAACAACCAGATTCATGGAATAACAGGTGTTGTTCACAAATGACGAGGTGTAGTTTTACCCTAGTGGTAATTTCAATATGCAAAATTTATAAATGTGAAGCAATAAAAATCCTCATGTCATTTCAAAATGCACCATTACACAATGTAAAAGTACAGGTGTGGTGTGGTGTGGTGTAAGTATGTGGCAAGTACTTTGGCTGATCTTTTTTTCAGCAAATTTTGAACTCTGTTCAGTGCATGAGTAAAAGTGAATTTCTTCAACTGACACCTGAAAAAAGACAATATGACAATTTCCTACAACATAATGGTACAGCACACACTGCTGACAATTCCATGGAAAATGAACAAAAATTGTTTCAGGACAAAACAACTAGCAAAGATTCCGGCTTCCTAGAACCCTTGATCTTGGTAACTGTAATCTTTATCTCTGGAGACATCTGAAGAAAAATATATGATAGCCTTCATACTGCCAAAGCTGTCCAGATAAAATAACAAATGTAGTTGTTCAGTTCATGACAATGAACATCAGAATGTCACAAAACATGAAGTTCAAATCAAACAACAAATTTCTCAACCATGGCCAACGATAAAAAAATTAATACATGACTCAAAACAGAGATCTCATTAAGATCTGTAGTTTCAGTTGAAACATTTTTCATATTGTCTACATATAACAAAATACAAGGGGGGAAAAAACAGATGTGTCTCTACTATACATTACATAAAACTGTAAGGAACTCATTTGGAAACCATGTGTTTTAAAGTAGAATATATCTAACCACACTTATTTAAAGAAACATCAAACTCATCCCTTTTATGCTGGCCAAAATCCTTTCCCAAGTCACAATATGACATACAACATAGTTTAACTACTTTGTTTCATAAGGACTGTAAATATGACAACAGACTTCTTATGTCATAAGCAACTGTACCATCTCAGTATTAGTTATACATCCCAGCCTTTTTTATTCTACGGCATATTTTCAAATCTACCTGACTTCAAAAACATTCTTAATAATACACAAACACAATGATATAATAATACTGGTGGTCACTGTAAGTAAACAAAAAACAAAAACATTGCATTCTGATAGACATAATTTCTTGTACAGAGCTGCCATAAGGCCAATTCATTTAACATCAAACTAATGGACTACATAAACTATGAACTTCCCAACACCACCACTTCAGTCCCAAAGATGGGGAGAGAATGTTTTTCTAAGACACTGGTATCAACCTACAAGTCCACCAATATGCGGGTATTACTGATGAAAGAAAATTAAAAAGTACAGATGTGAAATGGCATTTAACTCCATGACTTTAATGCCAGTTTTCATGAAAATCAATCAATTGGTTTAAAAGTTATTAAAACTAAACAGACACATGGGCATGATGATAATGATAAAATTTGCTTGTTTTACCTATAAAATAAAGACATAAGGCTGCAGAAATCTTGGAAATCTCAGACTTGAAAACAAGGACATTAATCATGCAATTGTCTTTTGTGGTCACTTCATATAAAGCAGTTAAGGAACTCATTCTAAAACCAAGTGCAGACAAATTAATACTATGTATGGCAAAGAGTTATTCCTTGCACTTAGAAATAAAAGGAATACAATACAGTATAATATAATACAATACTTCACTACTATTTAATGAAATTTCCAGATCTGACTTATAAATCCAAAAAGGACCAGGCAGATAAAACATGAAAGCAATTATACCCAGTTCTTGAAATAATATTATACTTATATGAATAATGTACATTTAAACTTGAAGTTAATGGTAATGGTAGAAAATATTATTTTTAATTCGAAACAACGGGATGAAAGAGACAGATCAAACTATACCGAGTGACGAAATGACTGCTGAGAGAAACTAAAGAGGATTTTGGCATCAAGCATAAGCATCTGTACAAAAACAAGTGCAGTGCACCACCACAAACACAGCTTACTTGTGAGCCTACCATCTCACTGAGACTGGTTTTTTGTGGTCACCGACCTTGTTCAACTTCAGTCTGTCGTACTCCTGTGCCTTGTTGTATAACAGCACGCCCACAATCACCATGCATGTTCCGAGCCCACTCAGCAGTGTCACAGGGTTCCCAAACAACAACACTGACAACCAGATCAGGAATGCTCTTTTTGCTGTATTGGCGACACTATAACAAACAATGAACACAACACCAAAAATGAAGCAAACAATTCAATTGAAAACAGCTATAAATATACAAAGTTTTTCACCATGATGGTGAAAAACTAACTGCATCTCTGACATCATAACCTGAAGGTATAAAACACTGAATCAAAAGGACACCATTAAACCAAACCTTAGCCAGATCAATTCTCTTTCATAATTTTCAGAAATTCCAGGAATAATATGTTGTCCATTGTCTGAGATATAATTGGTATACACAATGTTTGTTTCATTCTTCATGTGAATGGTTGTCATGATGTACTTGTTTATTATTATTAGTGACAATGGTTGGGATTGAACCCAAGATCTTTCAAATGTTAGGCTTTTATTGCTAAACACTAGACCAACAGTCTCTTCCAAGCAAATATTTAACTATTTACTTCACAAATATTCTTACCTATGAGTAACAGGGCTAATATAATCCATAAGAACATAGGCAGTGATACTTTGGAAATGGAAGAAAATGCCATTCAAGACAAAGGCTAAGAACAGCACAGAATCCGTAGTCTTCTGTACCCCATCAATGTCTACCAGGAATAATGACGCTGGTATCTGCACAACCACAGATGCAATACTTGTGTAGAACTGCAACTCTGCAGGCCTGCCAATAAAATATATTTAGAACAATTCACATTCTATAAATTTTCTAATATAACTGGACCCCTGAAATTAACAAAAAATATATCAATACTGAATTCTATGAATTTGAATGAAATCTTAACCATGTTTATTGACTGATAATTGTAAAGCTGTCACGTTCATGCAGGGTATTCAAACAAATTTAAAAGTTCCTTCAGTGGTAAAGGTAGATAGAGCATCATTTCCCTCACAAAAACAGCTCACACAAACACTCAACTGATGAGAACTCAAAATATGCACTTTCAGGAAAATTTTAACTGCTGAAAAAAAGTTGGTTGCCATTCCCAGGATTCAGCACTTTCTTTCTCATGCTTACTCAACTAATCAAAACACTGAAAACTGCATTTCCAAAATGTCTTAAGATGCCATAACATTCTTAAGTTTGGTAAAGATTTTCAAATTAATTACACACACTTACGTATATTTAAATTTGTCTCCACTGATGAGCATTTTGGAATAAACATTCTGTAAACTGAAACAACAGAAATAAAAGCTGTTAGTTGAAAAAAGCCAGTATATTGAGTATATTGAACACTATATACAGTAAAACCTCCATACACCAAAACTCACACTATCCAGACTTAGGAGTCTGAGGCTAACTTAACCATGAGGCCCAAAAGAAACATTGTAGTTTTAGTATTTTATAATTTAGAAGATGGAAAAGTCCAGACAAACAATTTTATATTTTACAGTGAATCATTGTCAGAAACTTTCAAACATAATCTGAATACACCATATGTAAAAGTGTAATTATACTCAATGTCCTGCATGATCCATACATACCACTCTGTGAGATTGGTAGCCATGGCTGCCACAAATCCTCGAGTATCAAAACTCAGCTCATTGGCTGAGCACAGGGCAAGTCCACTCATAACTGGAATCAGTGACAGGTTAACATACAGGCCTGTTGCTTCACCTGACAGGGAGAGAGAAAAAAAAAAAGAGGCACAGAGAGATATAATAGCTGAAACTTAAAAATGACAAAGGCCATGGATCTGGCAGATATATGTAATTAAAATGTTAAAGTCTCTATGACTGTGTCAATTTTAAAGGGTACTGACATTGATGTTTTACAATTGGGATCACTAAATTCTCAGACTATGTCCATCATTTGTTTTTTAAAAATAGTGCTATGTTTCGGAAGCTGGATCTGCTTCTGTCCTCAGGTTAAAAAAGAGGGAGAGGGGACCCTACTCAGCTTAAAGTCCAGTGGTAATTACATGTACCACCTGCTTTAGCAATTAATAATTCTTAATTCAGTCCACAGAGTATATTTATGGATTTCATATTAATTTCAAAGCAAACAACAATTAATTCTTTAAAGCATTAACCAGTTGAGCTTTGTAATGAAGAAGTGTTGTTTTCTTTGAGGTGGGAATTGAATGTTTAATTATTATTTAGATGAGCTTCAGCTTCAAAGAGGTAAGGAATGGTTACTGTTACAACAATGGATACATTTGCTTAACTTTAAATATAATAAACCAACAAATGCAATAACTTATATTAAAACACACATTTGCACAATAAAAATAATTAATAAGATGATTATGGTCTTATGATGATACAAGCTCTAAAATGTGTATAAATGAAATAACCTGTGCTGATGAAAAACCTTATGTAATCATAATAATAAAGTACTGATTACATGTATTATAAATAATAATAAACTTACCTAAGATGCACCTAGAAATAAGGACAGTGAAGAGAGGTGCTGAACTCTTGATGGTTTCTGTGAAGCTAACGGCCACATAGTTCAGTGCCACCAAACCCAAGATAACAGTTGCAAACCTGAAACCACAAAATAAATCTGGCAGCCAAATACAATGAAGAATCTACTTCAAACAAAACAAAAGTAATGTTTTTGAATATTCTGTCACATATATATGTTCACACAAATATAAGTAGCTGCAAATTATCTTTGTGCCAAATTTCATCTGCCTAGCCACGTCATAAATAAAATTCATGAAATAATAATTAATTTTGCTTCTTCATGTTTCAATGTTTCAGATGCCATTCCTGGAGCCACACTAATTTTTACCTGAAGAATAATTATAGATTTTTGTCTGAGATGTTTGTGGCAAAATTCCGAAGGAGCAAACTTAATTACCTCCTTGTTTAAAAACCTTTGATAACACAACAGAAGTTGCTGACCTGACACTTAGTTATTGCCGTTAGTTACTTTTAAGAATTTATGTGACAAAACCCATTTACACAGTCTGAGATTTCTTCATTCTTACTATATATAGTGACACAGCATTACTATATACTAAACAGAATTTATAGCACTGAACAACATGGGAAGATGTGCATGGATGGTAGATAGCTAGGGATCGGAAAGGGCATGTTCTTGTCCTGTTCAGAAGGTACTACTTTGGTATTCACACACTGAGAAAAAACAAAAATCTGGCAAGGATCTGAAGCCAGAACTCCCAAATACAAATTATCACAACACTAACCTCTTCAGTCATTGTGCACACTACTACAAACTCTTAGCATTTCATTGGGTAAGCCTGCTCACATCTGTTACAGTGTTACAGAAACAAATTCAGAACCACACTGGTTGCTAGGAAGAACATTTCTTGTGTTATGTTTCATTATGAAACAAATATAAAATAATGGCTAGTAAAATTAAATATAAGCAAACAATAAACACAAAACGAATGAAACTTCCATAACTGTAAAGAGCATGAAACGTCTGATGTCAGTGTCGGCCTTCTGTGTTGCAAAGTCCATTGGATTTGTAGGTAGACATTAATGTTGCAAAGAACCTACTGTCCCCATCTTTAGCCCACATATTCACAGCCATGAGAACCTCAAATTCAGATAATAAACATATCTTTAAATAAACTTCTAGTAGGATATTATAAATGTGTGCATATAACAGGTGTTTTGGTTGTAACATTTTTGGACAAAGAAAGCAGTAAAATTCAAGCTGCCAGAAAAATATAAGGAAAATACCTAAGCTACATAACTCGACTATTCATAGCCCTGATGACGGCGGCAGTATGACCTCTGAAACGTTGGTTAACATCGACCAGTCTACACAGCGCAACAACCCAGAAGACAGAAATCTTCATACTCACCGTTGTGAAAACCTAAAATCTTACATAACTCAACTAGTTACCAGCATTCACAAAGGTATATCAATTAGAGAGAGAGAGAAACACGACTAGTTCACCTTACCATGAAGTGATTAGAACAATAAAAGAAGCACTGATAAAGGCCAAACAACATGTCATACTACACATTAGTGAAACTTGGTTGGTAAATTAAACACATAACAGAGAAACTCTGACCAATAACATCTGACCTCAACTTCAGTTGAAATAATAATAATAATAACAACAACAAAAAAGATTTACTGTAATACAGTGGCAGTTCTATATACCCTTATATTGTATGATTTTCTTTTGTGGTTGCCAATAATCATTTTCCTGTTCAGAGATGGTAGACCTTAGGATTGACGCAATTAATAATTCTTAATTCAGTCCACAGAGTATATTTATGGATTTCATATTAATTTCAAAGCAAACAACAATTAATTCTTTAAAGCATTAACCAGTTGAGCTTTGTAATGAAGAAGTGTTGTTTTCTTTGAGGTGGGAATTGAATGTTTAATTATTATTTAGATGAGCTTCAGCTTCAAAGAGGTAAGGAATGGTTACTGTTACAACAATGGATACATTTGCTTAACTTTAAATATAATAAACCAACAAATGCAATAACTTATATTAAAACACACATTTGCACAATAAAAATAATTAATAAGATGATTATGGTCTTATGATGATACAAGCTCTAAAATGTGTATAAATGAAATAACCTGTGCTGATGAAAAACCTTATGTAATCATAATAATAAAGTACTGATTACATGTATTATAAATAATAATAAACTTACCTAAGATGCACCTAGAAATAAGGACAGTGAAGAGAGGTGCTGAACTCTTGATGGTTTCTGTGAAGCTAACGGCCACATAGTTCAGTGCCACCAAACCCAAGATAACAGTTGCAAACCTGAAACCACAAAATAAATCTGGCAGCCAAATACAATGAAGAATCTACTTCAAACAAAACAAAAGTAATGTTTTTGAATATTCTGTCACATATATATGTTCACACAAATATAAGTAGCTGCAAATTATCTTTGTGCCAAATTTCATCTGCCTAGCCACGTCATAAATAAAATTCATGAAATAATAATTAATTTTGCTTCTTCATGTTTCAATGTTTCAGATGCCATTCCTGGAGCCACACTAATTTTTACCTGAAGAATAATTATAGATTTTTGTCTGAGATGTTTGTGGCAAAATTCCGAAGGAGCAAACTTAATTACCTCCTTGTTTAAAAACCTTTGATAACACAACAGAAGTTGCTGACCTGACACTTAGTTATTGCCGTTAGTTACTTTTAAGAATTTATGTGACAAAACCCATTTACACAGTCTGAGATTTCTTCATTCTTACTATATATAGTGACACAGCATTACTATATACTAAACAGAATTTATAGCACTGAACAACATGGGAAGATGTGCATGGATGGTAGATAGCTAGGGATCGGAAAGGGCATGTTCTTGTCCTGTTCAGAAGGTACTACTTTGGTATTCACACACTGAGAAAAAACAAAAATCTGGCAAGGATCTGAAGCCAGAACTCCCAAATACAAATTATCACAACACTAACCTCTTCAGTCATTGTGCACACTACTACAAACTCTTAGCATTTCATTGGGTAAGCCTGCTCACATCTGTTACAGTGTTACAGAAACAAATTCAGAACCACACTGGTTGCTAGGAAGAACATTTCTTGTGTTATGTTTCATTATGAAACAAATATAAAATAATGGCTAGTAAAATTAAATATAAGCAAACAATAAACACAAAACGAATGAAACTTCCATAACTGTAAAGAGCATGAAACGTCTGATGTCAGTGTCGGCCTTCTGTGTTGCAAAGTCCATTGGATTTGTAGGTAGACATTAATGTTGCAAAGAACCTACTGTCCCCATCTTTAGCCCACATATTCACAGCCATGAGAACCTCAAATTCAGATAATAAACATATCTTTAAATAAACTTCTAGTAGGATATTATAAATGTGTGCATATAACAGGTGTTTTGGTTGTAACATTTTTGGACAAAGAAAGCAGTAAAATTCAAGCTGCCAGAAAAATATAAGGAAAATACCTAAGCTACATAACTCGACTATTCATAGCCCTGATGACGGCGGCAGTATGACCTCTGAAACGTTGGTTAACATCGACCAGTCTACACAGCGCAACAACCCAGAAGACAGAAATCTTCATACTCACCGTTGTGAAAACCTAAAATCTTACATAACTCAACTAGTTACCAGCATTCACAAAGGTATATCAATTAGAGAGAGAGAGAAACACGACTAGTTCACCTTACCATGAAGTGATTAGAACAATAAAAGAAGCACTGATAAAGGCCAAACAACATGTCATACTACACATTAGTGAAACTTGGTTGGTAAATTAAACACATAACAGAGAAACTCTGACCAATAACATCTGACCTCAACTTCAGTTGAAATAATAATAATAATAACAACAACAAAAAAGATTTACTGTAATACAGTGGCAGTTCTATATACCCTTATATTGTATGATTTTCTTTTGTGGTTGCCAATAATCATTTTCCTGTTCAGAGATGGTAGACCTTAGGATTGACATTTCCCTGCTTTTGTTTTGGAATTTAAAGAAACTCAGTTTTTCCCCTGGATTTTGGTCAGATTTAGTCTGAAATGGAGAATCTCCAGAGTTTCATGCAACTTAGATTTCATTAACTGATACCAAGTACAACTAATTTAGACTTAATGTGTTTCAATTTTGATGCTGAGATGCTAATTGGTGCATTCACTTGTGCATAAATCTCACATAAACTTACTGGGCACAAAGATAAACAACAAACATCTCTGGGTCTCATTGCAATATAGAGAGTCTACATAGATTATAATACATTTATGATGAAAAACACATGTCCAAATATATGGATCGCATGATAGACAATACACAGACATTTTGTATACCTGGTACATCCCACCAGCATCATATGTCGATAGAAGCCAGGAGGACGCATCAGCCTCTGAGTGGGCTTATACATTCCACATGGCAAATACATTTGGACAAAGCCACAGACTGTTGTCATCAACATCTGACTTGTACCTACAATCAGAAAATTTGTAAATTCAAATTATTTCCTTATTCCAGGTCTGTGTTACAAGATTGGAAACATAAATACATACAATTACAAACTACATAAAGCTAGAAGTACAGCAGGACTCATGAAATACAACTGCTTGCTCATTCACCACAAGGGAGTTTTTTGCTCTGTTGTTGTTGTTGTTCCCTTGGCTCTACAACCCATTTGTGGGTTTTTGCCGCCTGCTATTCGGAGGTTTCCTAGTCTTCAGTTTAAATCTCAGTGGTAAGTAGATTTCTAGCAATAATTTTATTTTGTATTCTTCATTTTTTTAATGAAAGTCCAAAGTTTCTAAAGTGCAAAAAATTACATGAAATTTTCTTATTCACTAATATTTAAATTAAATTATTATTGTGAATCTAAACAACCTTAGAATATGAAAATGTAAATGTTTTGTTGTCTCCAGCACAGCTTTAAACCTGTACCAACAGAAGACAGTTACACATAGCAACAAAAACTGATAGATATGTTACATATTGAATATCAAAATAATTGACAATAGCAATTTATACAATTTCTGTGCCACTGGCATCAATCTTGACACTAATAATGGTTTGATTAAGAAGACAGCTTGTGGTAAGTGAATTTTGTTATGTAGCTAGTACACATTAGCAGTATTTCTTGCATTATCTACAAAAAGATGCAAAGTAAATCTTAAGTAAATGGAGAATTAATATTTTTAGAAAGAGCTTGAAGTGTAATTCCCAGCAGCTATAAAGTTCAG